ATAAACATTATTGCAGGCAGTATTATCACTAATAGTGATAATTTGGCAAATTGAAGTCAAGATACATGGACAGGGCCTGACTTGCTCTGCTTGCGCAGTTTAGATGATTGAAGGTCCAATATAAAGGCTTCTGCTGTGCTGAGGATTAACCACACAGTAATTAATGACGGTCTGAAGTGGAACGATAACCATGTAGCAGAGAAAGTCATAAAATGTCCCAACAAAGGTACTAAAATAACGGCGATAAATGTTTTATAGCAACAGTCTGGCTGAGTAAAATGATCTGGTGCAGACTTAGATGTGGTCCCATGTTGTAGAATATTAATATCAAACCACCACCCACATGAAAAAGGGAAGCAAGTATTTCAGTGACAACTGAATTCTTCCCAAACTGCAAAGCTAAGTGATTACTTCTATTGAAAAAGTATGACTACAACCCTGCTGAATGATCGGTGAAAATATTCATTGTTTTACATCATTAACAGATGATAGAACAAAGAGTATACACAGTCTGCCTTGGCAGTTTGGGATGGAGATATTCTGAAGATATGACCTAAATATACAATAAGAGAAAGCTCAGTTGATAACAGGTGCAGATGGGGGATGGGGACCCTGATGAAAACACGAGACAGTAGACCTACTGTCTTATGAATGAATGGATGGATGGATGGATTTATATGTTAGCCAAGTGTTATCAAAGGATATTATATAATGTGCTGGAATGGATCTATTACTCATTAATAATTCCTTGTTGTGACTAGAATGCTTTTAGTTATAACAGAATATTCAATTATAATGCTTAAATAGGAAAGACCATGATGTCAGGACTCAGGGCTGGTTGGTGTCTCTGCAATTCTCTTGGCCTTGCCTTCAGAATTACCAGTTATCTGCCACAGCTTTCAGCATCTCACTTTCATCCTACCACATTCAAAAAAGCAGGGAACAGGTGAGTGTCAGCTGAAAGAGGCTTTCTTCACAGAATGGTCTTGCTTTGATCAAAAAAGAAAATCTTTCTAAGAACACTCCCTCAAAAGACTTTCTTTTATTGGCCACAACAAATGAGATGAGCCCACCCTAGACCAGTCTCTAGAATTACCAAAAATTATCATAATTCAAATACCTGCCCTAAGTGTATTTTTGCTTACTCCATATTTGGATAAAATTATGGTTCTTAAGCATGGAAGAAGAAGGGACAGGGATAACTATCAAGGTAATCAATAGTGCCTTTCACACGGGCCAACAGACCAGATAGTTGATTTTTTTTTTTTTTGAGACAGAGTGTCATTATGTCACCCTCAGTAAAGTGCTGTGGTGTCACAGCTCAAAACAACCTCTAACTCTTGGGCTTACACGATTCTCTTGCCTCAGTCTCCCAAGTAGTTAGGACTACAGGTGCACGCCACAACACCTGGCTATTTTTTGTTGCAGTTGTCATTGTTGTTTAGCAGGCCTGGGCTGGTTTCGAACCCACCAGCCTCGGTGTATGTGGCTGGTGTCATAACCACTGTGCTATAGGTGCCAAGCCCAGATAGTCTATTATTGATAAGAAAGAAATAGATAGCTGGGCGTGGTAGCACACGCCTGTAGTCCCAGCTACTTGGGAGACTGAGGCAAGAGTTTGAGGTTGCTGTGAGCTATGATGACACTATGGCACTCTACCCAGGGCAATGGAGTGAGGCTCTTAGGGAAGGGAAGGGGAGGAGAGGGGAAGAGAGAGGCAAAGAAGGGAGGGGAGAGGAGAGAAGAGGAGGGGTAGGATATCACAGAAAACATGCTCCCCTTGTGAAGAGCTACTAAAAGGTGCAAACCGAGGAACCTTAAAGAAAAACCTACTATTTAAGTAGTGAGACAGCTTCATTCCACACATATTTACTCAGTGCCTACTATGAGCGATGTGCTGTTCTAGGTGCTAAGGATATAGGGTCAATAAAACCAAGTTCCTCTCTCAAGGAGCTTACACTAGAACGGTTTCTGATAGGAGTGTGCATCGTACAGACGAGAACACCAGTCATGCTCCCATAGTATTCAGAAGACTGTGTCTTCTACATACTTGCCAAATCACAAAAAGAACAAGTAGATAGAATTATATAAAGTACACCACATACTCAGCTAAGTTATTTAAAAAAATGTTTAAATACTGGCTCAGTGCCTGTAGCTCAAGCAGTTAGGGCGCCAGAGCTGGTGGGTTTGAATCCAGCCCAGGCCTGCCCAACAACAATGACAACTACAACCAAAAAATAGCCTGGTGTTGTGGCAGGTGTCTGTAGTCTCAGCTACTTGGGAGGCTGAAGCAAGAGAATTGCTTGGGCCCAAGAGTTTGAGGTTGCTGTGAGCTGTGATGCCACAGCACTCTACCGACGATGACAGCTTGAGACTATCTCAAAAAAAAAAAAAGTTTAAATACTGATGATGCATATTTGATAATCATATTTTTCTAGGTATTCAAAATAATTTAATGCACATTATCTTTTTTCCCTTTCTTTAAAAAAAGACTTTATTTAGAACAGTTTTAGATCAATCCAGAGAAAGGCACAGAGATTTCCTATTTACTCCTCCCCGCATATACGCACAGCCTCCCCCATTATCAACACTCCCCATCACAGCAGCATGACTCTGCACTGCCACATCACCAGCACTCACTCAGTAGTTCAGGTTAGTGCTCGCTCTGGTGCTGGACACTACAGGGGTGTGGACAAGTGTACAATGACATGTATCGGCCATTACAGTATCATACAAAGTACTTTCACTGCCCTAAAAATCCTCTGTGCTCCTTCTATTCATCCCTCTCCTCAGCCCCACCCCTTGACAACCACTGACATTTTTACTATCTCCAGAGTTTTCCCTTTTCCAGAATGTCATATAGTTGGAATTACGATTGTACACTATCTTTACTCTCCCATTGACTATGAAGGAAGAAAGGATGTATATAATTACACAGACCCCCCCCAAAGGGTAGGAACCTAGGTCTATACCATTCAGCTGTCATTACAAACTATACCTTTCCCAGAAACAAGTCTCTAAAATTAAGCATGTCCAAAGACAGAGGCCAAAATTCTTAGAAAATCTGAGAAAGTGATCTAGCTCCTCATTTAAATTCACTGTGGCTAAGTGATGGTCCATGAGGAAAAAGTATTATATAATAATTGGGGGTAAAGATACATACTCATATATCTGGATTTAACTAGAGTTTCTGTTGTATTTGAAAACAATTAGCGATTTACCAGAGAAATAGCACCCAGGGAGCTTTTCACTCTCTATATGCCTAGGTCTCTAAAGGTCAAAGAGTGTGTCAAAGAGAAAGAGGACCTAAAGAATGCCAGCTAAAGTTAGATTCTTTGTCCCAGTTCTCACAGCATAAGTGGTAGACCTATCAATATTCAGAAGCAATGAGTCCCAGAAACCAGATCTCCTACTAGAAGACCTATAAGTCAGCAATTATTTGGTTTTAGGGATCAATAAAGACCTTTTGACCATTCTCTTTTGACCAGAGAATCCAACACCAAATCTCTAATGTGAGTTAATCTCCTATTTGGTAATGGACCGTTTGGAAGGAAGATGATTGCTCATCTACTGGTCCAAAATTGGGCAGAAGAGAAACTAGAAAAGGTCAAAGTGGAAGCTGTCATTTCAGCAAAGTGAGGGCGAGTGCAGGGGTGACGGCAGGAATAGATGGGTAAAAGGAAAAATGTACTGACTTACTTTTTGGTGAGCCGAGGGTCCAGAGGAGGGTGCTGCGCTCCATACACAGGCTGGATGCTAAAAAAAATGAAGTAAGTTGTTAGTAAGAAAATTAAATATATTGGCTGAGTACCAGCTGTATCATAAAATTGGATGGGACTTTGAGAAATAGATTGCCTCCAAGAATGAATATACTCAAGCCATTCCCAAAACTCTTAAAAAAAAAAAAGTCTTTGATAATGTTCATTTTCCCTGATGAAGTTCCAGTACCTTATATATCTGTCAGGAAGTCCTATGTGTGAAAAAGGCAGTGTGGAAAGGTAATGGACTTCAGAGTTGGAGAGAGCAGAGTTCAAATGCCATTGCCGCCATTCAATACTACTTTGAACTTGAACCAAGTTACCTGACTACTTTGAATCTATTTTCTTACCTAAAATGGGAATCTCGCCTACCTTAGAGGTTCATTAGGCTAAAAGACAATGAAGCAATACTACCAAGTGGAAAGAAGGCACAAAGAACTCTCACACACTGCAGGTGGGATACAAACCACTTCAAAAATCAGTTCAGCCGTACGTATCTAGGAAGAGTGCAATGTACATACATACATAACCCAAGACCCAGTATTTTCATTCTAAGATACATTTTTTTTTTTTTTGCAGTTTTTGGCCAGGGCTGGGTTTGAACCCACCACCTCTGGCATATGGGGCCAGCGCCCCACTCCTTTGAGCCACAGGCACTGCCCTAAGATACATATCTTAAGAGAAATAGATACATATGTGTATCAGGAGACATGTGCTATAAAACTATTCAAAGCACCATGGTTCTTCTTAGCCCCAAACTAGCCACCATATAGCATGTCTGTGTTTCATGTGCTTTTCTGTATGTGACATATACAGAAAACATGTATACATACACAATTAAAAGAAAAAAAGTGACTGAAGAATAAACCGTGTATCAACCCAAACCGTCATTCAAGTACAAAGGTGACAGAAAAATCTTTTTTCAACATGTAAGAACTCAGGGAATATGAATTCCTTGACTCCAGCCTGAAGAAACTAGAAGAGGACAACTTCAGCTAACTGAGATGGAGAAGCCACGGTGAAAGGACAGGTGGAACTGATCAACCTCAGGATGAAGTCTTAAATTTGGGGCTGCATGGCTGCACGAGAGAAGTAGTTATACTTGGCGAATATTAAAATAGGAAGGAGGAAAAAAATGGACGAGTGCAGTGATTTCCTCATCTTTCACTAACAGGACTCAAAAGATATTTAAAGCTGACAGCTCAAGTAATAGAGACATACAGTGTGCTTTAAGATAGAAAAGGGCTCACTTCGGTAACACATAAACTAAAATTGGAACAATGTAGAGAAGACTGGCATGGCCTCTGCACAAGGATGACAAGTAAATTCATCAAGTATTCCATATTTGGGTTCTATTTTGTTTACTGGTGGGGAAACTGAGGCTCTGATAAGAAAAGTGACTTACTCAGTTGAGGGCCTTCTAGCTTCAAACCTCACCCCTAATTCTTCTTCCAAAAAAAAAAATAGGGGTGGCGCCTATGGCTCAAAGGAGTAAGGCGCCAGCCCCATATGCCAGAGGTGGCAGGTTCAAACCCAGCCCTGGCCAAAAAAACTGCCAAAAAAAAAAAAAAAAAAGAAAGAAAGAAAAAGAAAAAGAAAACTGCAAGTGGGGATGGAGGGGTCAGAAAATATACCTACTAATTTCATCACTGCTCATGGGAAGGTGCCAAAAAGACTGCCTGAAGAAATATGATATATAGTTATGCTTCTAAATGTAATCACTAGAATAAAAAGATAAATCTTCCAAATTATTAGAATATATACATGTATGTCCTCCAAAGTAAGCGCAGTCTGTATAATATTTTTAAAAGAAAATATTAAAAATATAATTAAGACTAAATATATCAGTTACTTCAATAAATATGAATGGGCTGAATTTATCTATTAACAAAAAAAGGATTATCAACAGGAAGCTAGTTAAATATAGAACATCTTTTAAAAAGAATGAGGCAGTTCTATGGCCAATGAAATGAAATAAACTCAGACATTAAATGAAAAGAGATTAATGCAGAACTATATGTCATCATCTTTTTAATCTTAAAAATACATACCCATCTTTTTGTGGCTCTATGTATTCACAGGGCATCTGTGAAAGAATACATAAGACACCAGTAGGTGCGGTTTGTTGGAGGAGCCTGATGACAGTGGATGAGGCTCCAAAGAGACTCAGTTTTCACTGCATAGCCTTTGTACCTTTCTGATTTACTATCATGTACAATTATCAACTTCATAATAAATAAATTAACCAGGTGGTGCATGTAGCTCAGTGAGTAGGGTGCTGGCCACATACACTGAGGCTGGCGGGTTCAAGCCCAGCCCAGCCAGCTAAAACAACAAGGACAACTGCAACAAAAAACAGCCAGGCATCATGGTGGGTGCCTGTAATCCCGGCTACTTGGGAGGCTGAGGCAAGAGAATCACTTAAGCCCAAGAGTTGGAGGTTGCTGTGAGCTGTGAAGCCACAGCACTCTACCAAGGGCAACATATTAAGACTCTGTCTCAAAAAAAAAAAAGAAAGAAAGAAATTAAGCAGGGCCCAGCACAGTGGCTCAGCCTGTAATCCCCGAGGTGGGCGGATGGCCTTAGCTCATGAGTTCCAGACTAGCCTGAGCTACAGCAAGACCCCACCTCTAAAAAATAGCACCTGTAGTCCCAGCTACTCCAGAGGCTGAGGCAATAGAATCGCTTGAGCCAGGAGTCTGAGGTTGCTGTGAGCTGTGATGCCACAGCACAGGGGCAACAAAGTGAGACTCTGTCTCGGAAAAAAAAAAAAAGAGAGAGAAAGAAAGAAAGATATTAAGATATTAAGGATTGGCAGTTTAAATGGGCTAATGTGTCAAAAGTCCTTTAGCACAATTCCTGGTGGGTGGCAATACTCATTTAATAGTAAGCAGGTAGTGAGTTAGACTTACAAACATTCAAACACTACCCAGCGGCCCAAGCAAGTAATGGTAGTTTTCTTCCTCTCTTCCATTTTTATAATATAAACCTTATCCCAATATTCTGAAAACTGAACAAGTTTACCAGTGACTTTGTTTCACATAAGACGGTGCTCCTAAAGATGCCTGTAATTTAAAATGTAACCAAGTCAATCATATTCACATTTATTTCTATTAAGATTTCAAAGGGAATCTTTTTGCACACGATCTTGTTTATGGATTCGGTGCCTACTTTTTAGCTTTACGCACCTATACTCCCTAAACCTCTCTGGAAAGTTAAGTAATTTGTAAACCAATCATTACACATACTACTACAGAAATACAAACTGAAAAGCCAACAATATTACTCTAATGTGTTAAAGGGCTTCCAAGGCAGAGGAAAAGAAGAGGGAATAAAACAAGAACCGAAGAGTAATGGGAAAGTTTGGCTCAGGGGAGAGGGATGAGACAAAACAAAAAGTAAAACACAAACAACCACCAAACCCCTCCCCGCAGAAGGGCCACTGACTTGCACTTAGCATTTGCAAATAATCTAAGATGAGCCACAGCCCTCTTTGCAGTAAACCACAAAATCAGGGGACAAAAACCACAGGAAGAGCTCACTTGATCTTAGCCAAAAGGCTGAGAAATGATGCAGGAATATCTCAACAGGCCAGTTAGGTTAAGTGATGCTGTACCACCACCCCCCTTAAAAGAGCATTACCACCTGCCAGTAACTCACGCAGGAAAAAGCAAACCTAATGGTGCAGGCTTAAGGGCCACAGCCCATCCATTACCACGTAGGAAAGAAATCTTAAAATCACAGTAGACTATTCTTTAAAGATGTCAGCCCAATGTGCTGGCACAGCCAGAAAGGCTGAGATAAATGATGGACTTCATCAGTAAAGGTATCACAGCCCAAATTGAATTTGTTAACATATACTCGAACTAAACCATGATGTATCTGAACCTGGAACACTCTGTGTAATAAATCAGTTTACTGCACCTCACAAAAGACAGGCAAAAAGTTAGAAAAGGAAGACAAGGCTTGGCGCCTGTGGGTCAAGTGGCTTAGGCCCCAGCCACATACACCTAAGGTGGCGGGTTTGAGTCCAGCCCGGGCCCACCAAACAACAATATGGCTGCAACCAAAAAATAGCCAGGCGTGGCAAGCGCCTATGGTCCCAGCTACTGGGGAGGCTGAGGCAGGAGACTCACTTGAGCCCAGGGGTAGGAGGGTGCTGTGAGCTGTGAGGCCACAGCACTCTACCCAGGGCGACAGCTTGAGGCTCTGTCTCAAAAAAAAAAAAAAAAGAAAAGGAAGACAAACCCAGATGATTACAGAGCCTAAATGAAGATAGACTAAAAGGGCCCAACAATTAAGGTGCTTAATTTCCTGACATTTACTACATATAATTCACCTATCAGCCTTACCATCTCTAATCCTCCCAAACCCAAACTCCCCTCTAGGGAAGGCTGATTTCTACTCCACCTTTCAAACACGCCCAAATTATAAATCAGGCTCTTTACTTGGAATGCCCTTTCTAGTTTCTACATTCCTTTCCTATTGTATCCATCCTGCGACATTACCTTCAAATTCTACATCCCCATGAGACTTTCTCGTCCCCACCCCCAACATCCACTAACCCACGCCTTCTGATTCCCTAACATACATAAATCAGGGCTTATATATTTTTACAATAAACTAGAGTTAAATCATAATATAAGGCACAATCATGTAGATGTTCAACAGCCAATTTAAGAAATAGGACGTTACGGAGTCAAAACCTGTGGGCAGATCCCTACTTCCCCTCCCAGAAAGCTACTCTATTAAATCTGGCTTTTCACACTCATTCTTGTTTTTATTTTCTATGTATCCCTAAGCAATATATTGTTTAGCATGTAAAACTTTATATAAGTAGTATCACACTGTATATATGACTTATTTTGACTCTAAATCATAGTGCTACTTTAAATTTTACTTAACTTCATGGCTATCTTGTCACACTCTCCAACACAAGATAAAAAAATAAATCTACTCTAATACAAATATAAAAGCATTTAATTGACACTTTCAAACACAAAGAAAAGTACAAAGAACAATATAACAAGCACCCATGAGCCATCACTCTGATTTAACAAATGTTAATGTTTTCCCCATTTCTTCTTTAAGAAAATAAAGTGTTAGACAACTGACATCCCAGCTGCAGTTCCCTCTCTCCCCAAGAGATAACCACTATTCTGAAGTTGGAGCGAATCCTTCCCATCTGTTTTTATACTTCTTACATATACGCATATACCCATAAACAACACACAGTATTTTTTTGTTTTTAAACTTTACATAAAAGACTGCACACTGTACGTATCATTTGCTTTTTTCATTCGACAGTGTGTTTTCACCCAAGCCCACTTTTAAGTTTTTCTGATTACAAGCGTAACATATGCTAAGTGGAAAAACCGGAAAGTCAATCATACACAGCGTCCTTTCTAGGGGAAGCCACGGTGCCAGGCAGATTTTCAGCTTCTAGAAAGCCATGGTAGTGCCATATCTTTTTCTGTAGTCCTCTTGACACCTGGCAGAACGCAACACACACCAACAGACACTTAATAATACTTAATGAGTGAAAGTTAGAACTCTACAAAACCTAGACCTCTGCTTACACTGACACTTCTTTAGTGAGACAGACCTAAAAAGCAGAGGTTAATGTGCTGTGTCTCAGAGAAATTATACCACATCTGCGGAGAAATGAATGCCATCGGATATGTTGCCAGAAGACAAAATGGAGACAAAGTCCTGGTCAACCTGTCATTCTTTAATAAAATCAACACCACATAATGTATTAGCATAGGCTCCGCACCCATAGCTCAGTGGTTAGGGCGCCAGCCACATACACCAAGGCAGGCAGGTTTGAACCCGGCCCGGGCCTGCTAAACAACAATGACAACTGCTCTAACAACAAAAAAGTGGCCAGGCGTTGTGGCAGGCACCTGTACAGGTACCTTCCAGCTACTTGAGAGGCTGAGGCAAGAGAATCACTTAAGCCCAAGAGTTTGAGGTTGCTGTGAGCTGTGATACCACAGTACTCTACCAAGGGCAACATAATGAGACTCTGTCTCAAAAAAAAAAAAAGAACTTATTAGCATAGTTGTTGGAACAGTGCAAAAAACCTTGGTGGAAAGATCAACAGGTGTTTGCTTAGTGCTGACAAAAAAGCTAAAGCAAATATGGGAATAGAGCTGTCCAACTTAAATGCCAAATGTGTTGGCAACTGATTCAAGTCCACACACTCACTCTGAGGAAGTTTGCCAGAATCAGGGATCTATGCAACTTTAGTGATAATTTAGTATCTCCTAGTTATTCACTTTATCAGTAAAACATTTCCAAGCCAAGGATAGGTTGTAATGTATCTGCCCAAACAGAGCGGAACCAT